GATAAAGTTTACTCTGGGAACTGCGGGTTATATCGTTGGCCATTGATAGATGGGGTTAAAGCAATATTACGAAAGATGCCAGAAATATGTATCAACGCATTAATAACAGCTTACTTACAGCAGACGGAACATTCCGAGGAAATTGAAATTGTTTTGAAGTGTGCACTTACTGGTTACTGATTTGCATTAATAGACAGAAGATAAGAGGCGTGTCCCGCGTGAACTACCGGAAATCACAAATACCGCGATACGATGAATGCCTCGGTACCATGGGGTCCGAGTATATATGTTCCAGTGAATATGTATGCTACTCAAAAGAAGTTAGGGAACACTGATATGTTTGCACTTAAAATAAAAAAGGGAGACGAGAACGTGTAGTAAATTCAATAATGACCGAGTATACAGTAAGAAAGGATCATGAACAATCCACTACATTTCATAACGTGAACAAGTGTTGATGTCAATAATGTTACTTGGGTCAAAATTGGACATCCAGGCCATGAGAGAAAAGTCAGTAACGAGTGTGTCCGCCCCTAGCAGCCACACATGCAACACAACGACGCCTCATGGAGGTCACTTATGTCTGTAGTGTGTGTCCGCCCGGAGAGCGGAAGGTCCGGGGTTCGATCCCCGACCGCGTCATACCAAAAGACGTTAAAAGATGGTACTTGTTGTTACCCTGTCTGGCGCTCGGCATTAAGGGGATAAAACAAGGACTGGTCGGCTCGAAGTCAGTATACTGTGTCTGAGTGGGGTATTCATGTTAAACTGCGGCATGGTATCTCAGTGAGCTAGCACTATAAATGGGCATCAGTCCGGACTAGTACAAGCAGCCACACAAACACACACACGTACATGCACGTCGCTATATAAGTGCAATAATCTTGGACGCGACGTTAAACAACATTTCACCTCTCCACCTCTGTAGTGTGTTCTGTGGGATAGCATACCACTCCAAACTCAGCTATTGAGCAAGCTGGCGCAGATCCTAAGGTGGAGGGTGGTTCTCCCTAACACGTCTCTTTAATAGATCCCATACGTGTTCAATGAGTGCCATATCAGGTGAATATGCAGGCCATTCCATGCGAGTAACATTGTTTTGTCCCAGAAAGTCAGTGACTATGCGTGCACGGTGAGGTCTAGTATTGTCATCCTGGAAGACCGCCTGTGGGCCTATTCGATGAAGACAAGGAATCACCATTGGTCTCAGAATCTCATCCCTGTAGCGAGCATTCAAATTCCCGATGATGACGTACAGACTGGTTCTGTGATTAAATGAGAAGGCGACCCACACCATGACACTGCCACCACCAAAACGATTGTGTTCACGGACGTTGACGTCAGCAAAACGTTCCCCACGCCGTCTGTAGACAAGAACACGACTGTCATTATGCTGCAGTGAGAACCGAGATTCGTCAGAAAAAAGAGCTGCTGACCACTGTTGTCTTATCCACTGTCGGTGTTGCCGTGCCCATGCGTCTCTGGCTGCTTTGTGACGCGGAAGAAGAAGCGGTTTAACGGCTTGACCTCGGGGCCTGATGTTTCTTTCCCTCATACGGTTTCTTATGGTTTGGTCACTGACAGTTGTTCCTGTAGCAGCCCTCAGTTGCCTTCGAAGATGGTTTGCCACTGTGTTAAAATGGTTTAAACGCACTTTCTTCATAAAAGTGATTTTGAATTGGTAGCTTTATTTTATATAAAATCACACTATTTATTCATGCGTATATTATTATGTTGCAATGCAAGGTATACAACGAACATTTATGAGTGTACATAGAACGTGATACGTATTACATATCAAATGTATCAAATACCTTCCACCTCGGGAAATTGGGACGAATCCAATGTTGTCTTTTGCAACCAACGACAACCCATATCTGTCGGTCCCTTTTGTATTACTACAGACCCGTAAAGATCCGGGGTAGAATTGGTCTTCAGTAACCCAAGCTTGTCGTTAGAGGCGACTAACGGAATCAGACTCGCTGATGCATGTCATCGTATCCTAATAGCGTGGATCGATGCTCGTGATATCAATCACTGGATTGTCTGGTCCAGACTCGATTATTTACAGACCGCCATCATAGCTCGACAGTTGCCGAGTGAGGCGTTAAACAACAAACAAACAAACAAAATATTACCACAATCGCACACCATTCTCGCTTACATTAGCTTAACATTTCTATTTTATATGATTGATTTTTGAATAACGTGAATTAAGTTTACTTTTTAATGTTATGTAGACAGAATTCAGTTGTCATCTTATTAAAGTTTTAATCCGCTGGTTAAAGTTCAAGACAATGCCAATTGGTCCACTAGTTCAGAGGACCCCATATGGCTGTTTCTAATTGGGTCGACCGAGGCAATATTGAGAACTAACTTCTTTGTGGAATGACAAGCTAACGAAACTTGTTTGCGAAAAGCTGCTTTTAAAATAACATGTATAAAATTGAACGTGTGGATGTAGAAATTAACAATACATTGTCTGTATGGGAAACAAACCATAACTTTTGAATACACGGGTATTTGTTCATGTTATGAAACCACAGAGAAACCAAAGGTCACCACCCGATGTCAGGATCGTCAGATTGTGCAACAGCATCTTCAAGATCGCTTTGTTACTGCTGCGGAAACTGCTCGACAGACCATTGGGACACATCAGCGACACATTAGTGCGGACACCGTTCGTTGACGAGCAGACACCTCCACTGTCACAGGCCACACCGAGGACCCATTCTGACTAGGGGCCTTCTTCAGTGGGCAGCACAGCACCAGCACTGGCGCCACAGCAGTGGAGACGAGAGCCGTTACTGTATCTCAACAGCAGATGGCAGAGGGAGAGTCTTGCGACACCGTGGGGAACGTTATTCGGATGCTTGAGTTGTTGATAGAGACTCGTGGGGTGGTCCGAGCATCATGGTGTGGGAAGGAATTGGTCTTGCGCAGAGGGTCGGCCCTGTGGTCTTCCAGAACACCGGTCCAGGGAGAGACAATGGTGTCACAGCAGCTGGGTACATTGATCAAGTCTTGAGACCACACGCCATACCTCATTTCGCACGTCGCCGCAACCACGAGTTTCAGCATGATAACGCCCGTGCCCACACTGCAAGAGCAACAAGAGACTACCTCGAGCAGAATGGCATCAGAACCATGTAGTGGCCTGCACTCAGTCCCGATTTAAATCCCATTGAGCACCAGTGGGACGAGATTCAAAGACGTCTGAATGACGTCCGACCAAGGCCGACAGCTGCAGCTGAACTGAGTAAGGCAGTCCTCAGAGTGTGGGCTCAAGTGCCTATGGCCTTAATTAACCGCATCATCCATTCCATGTATCGACGTTGCTCGGCAGTCAGCAATGCACCTGGCGAACAAACGAGATAATAACGAAACAAATGCCTTGTGATGCCATTTTCTCAGAGACTAGTGTTGTGTTTCACTTTAAGAACATTTGACACTTTAATTTCAACCTTGATGATTTTTGCCAAGTTTCATCTTTTCAATATGTCTCAAAGTATGTTTACAGTGTTCGGACAAATAAGGTTTCTCAGATATCTATCCATGGTGACGTTTCTTTTGCGGTACAGTATTTGTCAGGTTATAGATAACGATTTTGTCAGGAACATTTGGCAGGGGACGGTGAGTTGGAACCTGTTTTCTAAATCCAGCCGTTCAACGCAGGCAACCAGCAAGGTCCGCCATTTGTCTGTAGTTCACAACCCATCTTCTCGAGACAAGGGCATTAACTGACTCTACAAATCCAATGGAAACTGGACTTTTATAGTCATTTAAGTCACTTGTGGGGAATCAAATCCGGGCCTTCGCCATGGCGAGCGAACGCTATAATCACTTGGCTACCCCTCCACTCCTACAATAAATGGAAGCTGAACGGGAATTTTCTTAAAACGAAACAGAGAACCATCAGATGACTGGATCGATTATGCTAGGATATTTTATGCCTAGTGGTTAAAGCGTTCGCTGGTCGCGCCGAAGACCCGGGTTCGATTCCCGACATGAGTACAATGTGTGAAGCCCGTTAATCTCCCCCCGTGAAAGTTTGGTCTTCGTTTAAGTAGGACAGAGGATGCTCACCGTTTCGAGAACACCTAGTGTCATCACTGTAAAGTGATTTATCCTATATTTTTGTACTGACATTTCCTATTACAAATTGTTTGTCTTTTCTAGTGAAACTGATCCTAGTGCATTAAATTTCTAAATGATTAATTCTTCCTCCACAAATAAGCTTGGAGAGCCTACCATCAATGTTAAATATTAAACCTGTAAAACACCAAAACACAACCGTCTGCCGGTGGGGACAGGTTACTGGTTGGAACACATACAAATCACACTACTAAATAAGCATTATTTAACCCTGTAGTGTCTCGGATATTCTGATAAATCTCCATATGATTGGAATAAGATATGCTCTTTCATTATCGTCAACAATAATGAAGTGAAACAACTACAGATTAGCAAAGTATGTATTATGTTGTCTGGTTTAAGGCTGTCTATATTGTATTATAATTAAGACGAATGCCCTGGCAGTTAAGCACATGCACCAAATACCCAATCGTAGTTACTTGACGGGTCATAGCGACCCGGGTCTTCAGGTATTAATTGTGTGTTTAGCTTGGCGCGTTCATGGCTACCGGAAAACATTGATTGACGCACATATCAAACTTTTTCCAAACGAATACCAATGCAATGTTTCACGATCTTGTCGGCGGATTTTTAAAGATGTCATCAACATATCCATTAACTTAATCATATTTATTCATATGGTCGGCATGCACGTCGCTATATAAGTGCAATAATCTTGGACGCGACGTTAAACCCAATTTCACCTCACCTCACCATTTCTACAGGGAGAAAGGGTTTGTTAGTGAAAGGACTAACATTTCCAGGGCACTGCAACAGACTGTGCACCTTTAAATATCGATCGTCGCGAATACAAAATAATAGAAACCAATCACTTCTGGGTTAAACTTCATTTTTTTTTTTTGAAGGGTATATTCTCAAGGTTCATCTTCGAAGCCAGTGCGCAGAATGGCTGTAACGATCATATGCACGCTCTTGGTGTGTTTTATTACAGGTAAGGGTTATTTAAAAAATGTCTTTTACCGATTTGGTTCCTTGGACAACTAATGATGAAAAGGTGTCCAATGCAAGTTGGCTTCTTAATCGTGAGGATCGACAACACCTGCAGTCATAACTAGGCTTCCGTTTAACAAGTACAACGTCATTCATTGACATTTCACTGTAACAGTTGTCAGATAGGGAGTAGACGGATCAAGTCGGTTGCAAATGATTCTATGATGGCCGAGACAGTGTGTGTCGCTGTATTCCACATTATTTACTACAGTTGGCGATATGCCAGCTATATCACGGCGGCCTGTAAATAATTAAATATGTCCCATACAAACTAGTGGTTGATAGCATGGAAACGGTCCACTAAACCAACACGATGACACACACTCAGTACTGTAACCAAACTATCACAATTAAGTCACACAACAATCAACTTGGTCGACGTAAAGGATGCAACGCACGGCAAAATGTGGCGTTTCAGACGACTCGACTACCGTGACCATTTTTCAACCGACTTGTATGCGGCTTGTTAGCGATATATCTATTATTTTCATATTTTTTTTAAATGGTTCGTTTTGAAGTGCACAAACGAACGAATAATTGTGTTGAATTTGATCTAATCTTACAAAACCACTGAAAGTTTGTTTCATTTTTAGTGTTAAATAATTTAATGACGATGATCTTGATCTTATTGTCATGGTTTTATAGATTTTGTACATACTTGGTGGCAAATATTAATTGTGGAACCTACAAATCACATTTGGCCTTTGTTTGGCAATTTATGTTTCAAAGCAAAATTCATTTTGAAAAGAAAAAGTGATTTTTTTCAGGTATTGAGATGTTCAAACCAGCATGTTTGTTCGCACGTCAATACGTCATCATCGGCCAAAATGTGTTTGCTCTGCAAGTCAGTTATCGTTCTGGAGTTTCATCTCTCATCTCTCAACAACAAAACATTTCAAAATGTCTTTACCAGTTTATATTTGAATGGATCGCCATGCTTGTAGACAGCTCTTTCAGGCAGTTATTTTCTCTGAAAGCAGCCAAACAATTGACTTTCAGAAGTCCAGCATTTCTAGTGAATGATATATTTTGTTTGTTAATCCCTGGGACAAATTAATTTCTCCGGTATCTTCCGAAAAAGATAAACAAAAAATCCAATGTAATATGTTTAATTTCTTTCAGAAACGTCAGCGGAAACTTGCTATGGTCGATATTCATCAACTATATGCATTTTCGGCTGTTGTGAGGATGCTGTTTATATCTTCTGCTGTGTTTCAAACAAGTAAGTATAAGACGGTAAAGGGTTAACAAATGAGTGTTTAGAGAATAACGTGCTCGAAACGCGTAATTAAGGATTAACTGGTACCAGGTGAAGAAATGGTGTAATTAATCTCAAAGTTTTGGTGTTCAGCATTCTTACATGAAGTATCTTATTCGTCATTTGAAAAAATACAATACTACAGGGTAACTGCACTGGTCAACATATTGTACAAATGACGTTATTTGCGACGTCATAAACAATGTTGACGTCATGTCATATTATTCTCAACAATAAAGCAATGTAACGTCAACGCGCTTCAACTTGGAAATCAGCACTGATAATCACAAATGTCGGAAATTGTTACACGCGATGGTTCTACCCTTAAGAGTAATATTACGTGTCTGTTCCGCTACAACGTTCATTCGAGTGGGACAGCGTATCCGTAAGTTTGGAATTCGGGGGGGGGGGGGGATTTTTCAATCATCCATTCAAAGAATGAAAAGGAAGCATGCCACGAAACGTCACTGAGGGTTTCGTGCTAACGTGATCAGTCTGTGACGCTGTGAGCAATGGCTGACGTGTTGTCGTCCTTTTCTCATTAATGCAAGAAATGTAACCTCACGTCATACCGGAGAATGACTATACTACACTTCTGCAAACTTACGTAATGGAGACATCACGAGCATCAAGAGCAATTATTTGTATAATGTGAATGAGAGTGTTTTTATGAGATCTAGTATGAGAATAAGCATATGGTCGTGAATGAATTATAATTATGAGTGTCAACAATACAACTGTGAACGCCTCACGTCATCTGCGTACGACGACATCAACCAAGTCACCAAACCTGATCACCCCACCATAAGTTGCCTGGTCGAATTCTAACTCGGAATCCCCAAGATGATATGGATAGAAGTACCAGTGTTAATGCTGCTGATACCCAGTTGAGAGAGATGATATTTCTTCTTTGGCAAATTAGTGGAGCCAACAAACATTGTTGTTCTTTTTCTTTTTCTTTTCAGATGGGCAATAACTATCATCGTCTTTGCAGCGTTCGTTACCATCGCTTTGCTCTGCACGTGTTTCCAGGCAGTTGCTAAAGCGGCCACATCTAAAAGCCGGACAGTGGGCGTGGAGAGGACCGCTCCTGAGACAACAATGCCGAGAGCTGCCACGTCAGGTGCAACGTCAGGTGCAACGTCAGCTGCCACGTCAGGTGCCATGTCAGGTGCAACGTCAGGTGCAACGTCAGCTACCACGCCAGCTGCCACTTGAAGGATTGTCCTATATGCCAGGCTGCATCGTATAACGGATGTACTTCTGAAGAAAACAATACATCTATCTTCTTGCTTTTATTTTATCCTAATTATATAATACAACACACGGGGTCGAAAAATTATTATGCTATTTAATTGTGGTTTTGTGTTAAAGTATATTTCAAAGAATTAATAAAAGTAAAATAGCTTTCTCAACATCCGGCTTCCCTAACACTTGCCTTATTAACGGCTATGTTTGAAGCGGACCTCTGTCAAGCCTGATCACATCGCCTTCTTGTTTCATTCTAAACTGGTCTAGAAATGTTCAGAAAAACAACATAAATTTTCGAAATATAACCTTATATAATTTGTATATTGGCCTTGATTGTGTTGTCATGAGTAATTACACAAGGTATATTAATAATGTTCGTGTGAAGAAATACATGTTTCATACTGTGTGCACCCGAATGAAGTATATTACAGTCAATAGTTGGAATGTTTTAGCACATACATCAACGACTTTACATTGGAGAAGTGTATACTTAGCAATTAACGAGAGTGTTAAGAATTTGCAATAAATCCTGCCAGAATGAATTTTGAAAAAATTATTTGAATCATTTAAAGAATGTTCGTGTTATATATACTGAACAAAACAGGTTTCTGGGGTATATGTTTTTGTCGTGAAGAGTTTCTTCAAATGTGTATTGTGATTCCTATTTTATATTTCTCATCATATTCTGGTTGTTGGAAAAAGCAGGTATATGTTAAACTTTACTTTCAATACCACTGTTGCCAATGATGAGTGATTGTGGTTTTACGCCGCTTTTAGCAATATTCCAGCAATATCACGGCGGGGGACACCAGAAATGGGCTTCACACGTCGTACCCATGTCGGGAATCGAACCCGGGTCTTTGGCGTGACGGGCGAACGCTTCAAACAACTCGGCTTCCCGACCGCCCCTGCCAATGATGAATGCCACTGGACCACTGGTATTAACAGCCATGTTTCGAGCTGTGTGGAGCATCACAAATCCTGCAGAACACCTGATTCTAATACACCATATTTTCGTTATAACTACTGGGCTCTCGGTATGCCGCCGTATCACTATCTGTCTGTGTCAAGGGGCAGCGGAATGTATAATGTGTCCGCCCTGGACTCAAATACACCATATTCTTGTTGTAACACATTGGGTTCTCGGTATAGGACAATCTTAATGTCTTTCTGTGTGAACGGGCAGCGAGATATGTAATGTGTTCTTCCTGCAGCATACCTGATAAAACCGCACTCTAAAAGCATTGCTGCCATACAATTGGATCCTCGGTTAAGGATCTGTCAGTGTCTGCCTGTTTAGAATAAGCTAACACCGTCCTTCTTAGCGTTGGTGTTATCTTTTTGAACTTGAAAGATGTATTCACCTAATGACGTTTAAGGTCTATCTATGCTGGAGTGATAACTTGTTAGGCTTAATATCTAAGCCAAAAAACATCGTATTTAATATGTCAATATGTCAGAACAACCTTTACTTTAGCACAGCTGTTATGGGTATACCGAAATACATACAAGAATTGTTTCACGTGTTGCTCGTAAAAGAAAACTAAAGGACTGCACCTCAAGTCCTAGGGTTTGATAGATACACAGGAGCCGATCATTTAACATATGTTCTGTCACTTCTTCAAGACATATTTCTCTCTCCGAAACAACACCTAGAAAACAAACATTGAAGTCATAGAAAAGCCGGGTGGGGGGGGGTGGGGTGGGGGGGGGGGGGGGGGGTGGGTGTGTGTGTGGGTGTGTGTGTGTGGGTGTGTGGGTGTGTGGGTGTGTGGGTGTGTGTGTGTGTGTGTGTGTGTGGAACCCCGGACCTTCCGCTCTCCGGGCGGACGCTCTACCACTAGACCACGGAGGCGGTCCATAGTAAGTAACGACAGGAATCACCAGAGATGTCAACCATCCAAGTCTGAGGTGTACTGTATATAAGGAATAGTTTCACAATGAACGTGACCATTGACTTTGATCTTACATTATATTTGATCTTAGATTATAAAATATCTGATATACCAAACATTCACTACACAGTGAAAACCCTTTAGTCCGGAAACCCCGCTAATCCGGAATAATCCAGAAAACTTGGTAGTATGGAAACCCCAATAATCCGTAAACCACGCTAGTACGAACACCCAGCTACTCCGGACATTTTGCTAGCCAGGAAGTTTTATTTTCAATGTAAACTCTTCACGCAAACAGAGCGGCACCCTTAAAGGTTCCGATGCGACATGAAAAAAGCGACAGCTATCAATGTAAACAATGTTGTGAACAAAATGGAAACGGAGTGTCCTTCACAGATGGTTTCAACGAATAAAAAGTGAATGATTAATCTTTGAATATCTATCGAAAGTGTAAATACTGTCAATACTTTTTATAACTGATATATTGTATACATGTGGAAGCTTAAACAATAAAAGTCAAAATTCGAAGGCGAATCCGACACATCAGTTTCCAAAACACGCATGTCTTATTCCAAACTCGGAATCAATCATCCTCATATTTACTGTGTACAGGATGGTGTCCAGTATTGCCTGCTAAGTAGAATTATATCGCAACTCGCAGATCCTTAGTGTAACAGTTATATTATTTTCCTGTTATGTTAGGCGCATCTTCGAGCTCCAACTCGCACAGGAAGTAATGGCCGTAGCTGCAGAGAGCATCATCCCACTTGAACGCTTGTGATTTAAACAACATGAGACAAAACTAGTCACCGTCATGATTTGGGTTTCCCGGGGACCACCAGGTATTGGTGATGCGACCGCCTTTAAATCCCCACTGCCACTCACTGCAAACACGAAAACGTCGTTTTTTTTCCGTATATGGTCATTGGACGGAAAAACGACGTTATTTGGACGTTTTCAAACCATCGTTTTTCCGTCCAAATAACGTCGTTATTTGACATCGGAATTTACTGGGAGAGAACGATAGCGTTAAGCTCCTCCCTTTCTTGATTGACATTGTCAATCAAGCAACAGCGTCTACCGGTATTTCTACTTCTCAGATTTCATTGGTCAGTCCCGCGTGTTAGATTACAGGCCCGCGTTTGACGCTGCACTCGAAGCGCTTAGCGGAAGTACTGAAATCAATCGTTCTGCGCATGCGGATTACTTAATGCCTTGACCAAATTTTTCGTTCTGTGCATGCGCGATTTCGCGTATTGTTTCCTAGATTTAATGTCACCACTATTTGACAATGGTTCATAAACACAGTCACGTGAAGGTTCGGAATCGTAACGAGTAACTCCATTTAAATGGATAGCTTATTGTATGCTATATAGTCACATGGAAGTGGACAAGAACTATACATTGTATTCCGGCCGATTGTTCTTGCATTTACTTATAAGTCAGGAAAATGGACTTAAAAGGGGAGTTGTTGAATGTAATTATCTTAATTATTAAATGTTGCCTATACACTAATCTGGACGAACTTCTCATTGTTCTGTTTATGTCATCCTATATACTATTAGTATGTTACCGTTCTAAAGTCAACCTCTCACATAACATTATATTGTTCATAGTATCAAAGTTTAATCAACAATATCAAGAGCAGCGATTTAAACCACTGAAACACCCAAACACAAGGCTGTTATCAAGCGCTAGTGCAGACGTGATGCATCGTAAAAACTGTATCGTGATGTCTTCAGAAATTCAATTATACTACGAGATAGTACGGCTAACGCTGACTCACCGGTGGAACAAAGACAATATCGCTAATACAGATATAACGTATTTGAATGTTAATACTAAAGACAAACAATCATTATTTTTGCAGTGACGATATAACACGTATACACGTTTATTGTTAACTTCCATCAGTTTTGCTCTTCATTTTAATAACTTTGTTTTCACATATATATGTAGCAATACCCGACAAGCATGTCATACATAATTATGGGGCAGTTTACGATCTTGTACTGACTTACTCTGGTGTTAATGAGCGAAGTTTATTGGCTTGTGTGTAAAACCCCGTTTTTCTGGTAATCCTATTATTACTCAGTTTATTTCTATCTAATGACACCCTGTTCTCTGGATCATGGCTCCGTGACTATCCATAACAATTAAGATGAACATTCAGTTCAAGTAAATGAATGAGTTTGTTTTGACGCTACAGTCAGTCAAAAAACCAATGCTGTGAGGTTTGATAATACACTTCTACCAGGTCGAACATCATGGATCCTCATTTTCTGCCTAAAGAGAATCATAATTCATATGCTAATTCATCTGCGAATACCCTCCCACTCAAGATGACCTATCATCTATCCCCCCAATCTCACCCCCCCCCCCCCCCCACACACACACACACACACACGCACGCAAACACGCACACGAACACGCGCTCGCGCACACACACACACACACACACACACACACACACACACACACACACACACACACACACACACACACACACACACACACAAACAACTGACCTAAATAACCTGGACAGGAAATACTGCTGTTAGCCTCTGGTCAACTCAGCCGCGCCACCGCAGAATGTTCGTCCAACTCTGCAGGGGGCATTTTCAGTGGCTTCAAACGCGCTGAAATGTTTTCGCCTTGCATCCAAGATGGTGGACAAGTGAAATCGTATGAAATTTGGCTATTTTAGGTCCTATCTTTTATTTGATTACCCAATAAAGTCAATTCATAGTAACACGATTGTGAAGAAGCTTACAACTTTATAAGACTTATTCATCTCATTCCAAAAAAGCTACTCTCGCTCACATAAAGTTGTAGTTATTATGTCACTGTTTTATTTCTTTTAAAATATATTACATGTTCAACAATAACAATTAAGATGAACATTCCATTTCCGATATAAGTAAATGAATAAGTGTGTTTTACGCCACAATCAGTCAAAGACCAACGTTGTCCGGTCTGATGACACACAATCTACCAGGTAGCACATTGTGTACACCCTATCCCCATTGAAGTCTCCACTTTGGGTATTCCTGGGGACGAAAAGGCCCCATGTACCTAGGAATTTTATCAATACATTCATGCGCAGCATTCTCTGCCTAAAGAAGATGATATAGTTAACATGCTAATCGAACTCGAACTACCATCCCGCTCAAGATGAATGTTTTATGTAACATCTAACAGGCCCACATTTACGCACGCACGCACGCGCACACATATATTTTGATTTACCAATCCCTGAATTGAGAAGACGTGCGTTACGAAACTCCTCCAAGTCATCATCAATATCCGTATATTTCTGTGATATCATTACCCATCCAAAGCCGAATATACATTTATTGTGTTTTCTTGACAACAAATGTTATAATTGGGATAACACTTTCTGAGTAAAGTACAGATTCTCGTACTTTCTTGGCTTGAGTCCCGTCCGGGATTTGAACCCACACTGTGAGTGAGGCACCCAATCGCCGGAACACAAAGTTGGCGATCTAACCCAGCCACCGAACCAAAAATGTTAGTCCAGATGACGTATACTTTGTGTACTCCTCTGACAAGAGAAAAATGGCACGGCTTCTATGACCGAAAGCTTTGAACCAACAATGCCTTTAAGAAAGTGGTCAACAGTAACACACATT